CGGAGCCTCCGCCACGTCCGGAAGCGCCGCCGCTCTGCCCTGCGCCGGCGCGCGCCGGCGCCTTCCCCACCGCTTCCGGGACGCTCTAGGCGGCCCGGAGGACTCGCGTCTCGGTGGCTTCGCCAAAGCCGGTGCGGGTGCTGGAGGGAGACCCTGGGAGGCGGAGCGGGGGCTCCACGGCCTCGGCGCGTCTGCTTGTCCCTCTGTGGAATGGGCGCGGAGTGACTGGAGTCTCGGGTTTTGTTGGGGGCCCTCGCAGTCATGGGCGAGGGTGGGCGTGAGGGCGCCCCCGGTCCAGGACGGCCTTTGATGTGGAAGTTTCTGAGGGGGGTGTGGAGGGCGGCGATCTAGCCCCCCCGCCGCCCTCAGCGACGTGAAGGCAACGGTGTTGTCCTCTCGCCCAGCCTCTTAACTGGAGCCTCACCCGTACCTAATTTTGATTTCCATGATGAGACTTGGGTCTTTTGAGCTGGTGCGACTTGGGTGAGATTTTGACTTAAGCCGATGCTGTGCTGTGATGAGTTGAGACCCTGGGGAGCTTGGGACGGGGTGAACATTTCGCATGTGGGACAAATGCTAACGTGGGCACCAGAGAGTGGCCTGTGCTGGCTTGAATAATGCCCCCGCCTTGGCGGCCACATCCTCATCCCCAGAACCCGTGAGTATGTCACCGCACATGGCAGCCGGGACTCCGCAGATGCGATTAGGTTGAGTCTGGAGACGAGGAGAGCACCACGGTAATCGGTATCGTTACAGCGATTATCACGGGGACAGAGGGTCGGGTCAGAGGGGACGATGTGACGATGGAAGCCGAGGGAGGAAAGGAGCTACGACAACAGACGCAGACAGGTCGGGGCGTGTGCTTCGTAGGCGGAGGAAGGGGCCTCTAGAAGCTGGAAGAAGCCAGGAAGCATCCTCCCTCGGAGCCTCCAGGAGGAGCGGCCCTGCCAACACCCTGGGCTCAGCTCCGTGAGGCTCGCGTCAGCCCTCTGAGCTCCAGAACCAGAGTTAACAAATGTCTGCGTTGTAACGCACCAAGGTCATGGTCATTTGTGGCAGCAGCGACAGGGAGCTCCCTCCTCCTTCATTCACGTTCCTTCTTTGGCTCCCAGGACCCTGCCGCCCCCGGCCCTCCTTCCTCGCCCTCCCCTGCTGACCCCTAACTGGCCGGGCTCCCCCTTGGCCCTTGTCTCCCGCTCCCTGCGATCTTCATTCTCGAGGCTTCACGCACCGGCGGAGGCTGACGACTCTGCCGTCCACGTCTCCTGCGGGGACCCCGCCTGCAAAATCTAGGCTCCGAGGTGCTGCTCGCGTCTAACAGGCACCTCGAACAGCATCATTAACCTCTCGGGCCTCCTCCTCAGCCTCGCTCCGCCTACACAGCCCCCATCGCAGTGAGTGTTGACTTTGCATCCACTCAGGCCAAGAAACTCAGGGTCACCCTTGACGTGCGGTGTCCCTCACACCCCACACCCAGTCGACCGGGAGCTCCGCTCGGTGCCGCCCTCCACGACGGGGTCGATCTCGCTGCCGGCCATGCTCTCCCTGGTCCAAGCCGCGGTGGCCTCGCAGTTGCCTCCTCCCTGGTCTCCACTTCTGCCCTCAAGCTCCTGGATCAGCCATCTGCTGCTGCATGACAACGCACCCCAAAATTTAGTGGCTCGGAGCCGCAGCCGCCCGGCTGCGCGTGGTTCCCTGTGTGGGGAATTTGGCGCGCTAGCGTCAGACGCACTTGACAGACAGGAAACTGAGCACGAGCACGACACGCAAAGGGGAGACTGGAGCCCGGGACCCCGTGAGCAGGGTCTCCTGGGACAGTGAGGTTGCCCCCAGGAAGGCCGGCTCCATCCCTTTGTATGACGGTCTGCTGCCACCTTGTGGACATGGGGTCACATGCACCGGCCTGCCACCATCCCTCCGGGCTTCGTCTCAAGGCTTGAGTCCACTCTGGCAGAGAGGGAGGGGTCAGAAAGACAGGCGGAGAAGCAAGAGGGTCCATTGGGTCCTCGGGCCTGGCGCTGTTGTTCCTCTGCCTGCAGCCCTTTGCCCGGAGCTGGCGCTGGGCCCCGCGAGCCCCTCCCGCGGGACCTGGAGGCCTCCCGTGGGAACACATCACCAGCCAGCCCCTGTGGGGCGGGTCTTGGCGTGACGAGTCTTTCACAGCAAAGAGGGGGCTCCAGGCTGAGGGAGCTTGTGAAGCCCACACCCGGCTGGCAGATAGGGGACCCCGTTCAGGTGTGGCACTATGTGGTCTGTTGGTAGGGACCCCTGTGGGGTGGGGTCTGCTTTCAGCTGCTGGTCCTACCGGTCTCACTTCACGTCCTGGCAAGAGCCAGGAGCCAGGGCCCTGGGCATGGCCAGATCTCCAGGGAACCTGACTGGTCTGGGCCCACGGCGTTCGGGAGAGTAGGTAGAGGGCCAAGAGAGAACAGGAAATTCTGGAGTCCCAAGAGGTGACCTCAGAGCAGGGGGAAGGAAGGCGGCTGAGAGTGAGGCCCACTGAAGCCAAACTAAGTCCACCAGGCGCGGGCGAGACCTGGGGTCCGATTCTTCCTGAGGCTGAGAATCTGCGGAACCAGACTAGTTACGTGCTTCCAAACACACAGGTGGCACAGTGTGGGGTGGGCGTCCCCACTCTGGAAAGGACACCAGGGAGGGAGAAAGGAAAGAAGGAAGGAAGGAAGG